ACTCTCCTGGCTATAATGAAGAAATTATACTCACACAGTCATGAATGCTATATGAAAATTACCTTCAACAAGTGAGATGTTCAGGATGACCAAGGCCACGAACAGTAAAAATAACCAAGGTCCAAGTCGAACAGCCTGGCAAAGAAATAATCAAATGAGAGTTAAATTGTGCTGCCATTGGACTCCTTAAAACCTTTTACGATCAGCGCTCTATACATCCCTTGTACACTGCTGAGTCTCCTCATTTCGTCTATAGAAAACGTTTCTAAAGTTTTTGTAAACTCTGCTCAAAGTCAGTACAAAGATAAATGTGGAAAAAAAAGACACTTTTAAATATGAAGTGACTGTTCCTACCATGTCTTCGATGACGACGACGAAAGAAAAGATCCGCTCTCAGCGAGTTCTGCTTTAGTATGGTTATGCACACTTCCTCAGTAAGAGTTGATTAAAAGCATGATCGTGTTTTCCTTCTTTTATATTGACACTGTTGATAAAAAGCGTTTTATGATAAAATGACAGATGCCAACCTTTCAACGCATCCTTCACCAAATTCGTGCCACAAAGCGTTTCTTCTTGTAAGCTCTCTGTCGATATATCGTCCGTAACTCCGATTAGCTCCAACCAGCGAATGAGAAGCATTCGATTATGAAGTAAACTCGCGGTAAGGATGGCGTTCTTTTCCCCCTCTCTCTTCAAAAAAAAGAGGGGAAAAAACGCCTACCTTACTGGTACTTAACTTCGCGGGTCTTAAATTTCGCGTTTTTCGCGATTGTAAGAAAATCGCGAAATTTAATTCCCGTATTGAAAATTCAAAACAGAATTAACTTGTATTTGAAAATGCCTCGAAACACTGCAAAACCGCGAAGACCTCGGCCATGACCTCATCGACAAACATGATAAATGTCACTTAAAAGTAAAAAGAGAATGAGTGTCTGCAAATAATCGGGTTTTCTACCTGGCTTACAATTTCAAGAAGCGTCTTAATCCTGGGTATTAGAACAAAGTGATAAAAACGTGAGAAGGGGGCAAATATAAATAAAAGAAAAATAAATAGAAAAGAAAATTTGAAAAAAAATAGGAAAAAGCAGTAAACATCTTAAATAAACTCTATTGGCCTGTTTGGCCTCCCGCACAACCCAACCCGTATCATTCAGTGGCGGATCCATGGAACGGGCCTGGGGAACCCCCCTTCTTTTTTTTTAGACCAAACTGAGGTTCGAAGGGCCGAAAAAAATTTTTTGGGAGACCGCCTCCCCCCTCCCCCCTTATCTCAAGGTCTGGATCCGGCAGTGCCATTCGCCAGTGTGTTATCATTTCTTTGTGTCGTCACCCAACGCTTCTTTCACAAACGTTTGTACATGTTTTTAGGCAGGAGTGTAGAGTAATTACACAAAGAATAGACACATATTTGATGTAACCTGCTATTAGGCGTTTTTTTTTTCGGGGAAGCGTGAAAGTCGCTGGACGGCGTACCGCGCAGTTTCTAACTGATGCGCTGTCACAAGTGCCAAATGTTATGGGAAAATGAAACAGAAACTTTAGTTTCTTTTTATGTTTTTCTACTGGGCTGTCAAAATTTGGTATTCCATTTACATATTCGGTGTTTTTCATTTGGCCATCAAAACATTTGGCATTGGTTTTCGTTTTTACTAGCGTTATTAAATAGACGGATCGATTTGATGTCTTTTTGGGTTTCCTATTTTCACGTGGGATTGTGAAACGGAATTCTTATTTCTGTTTTCCTGCGTTTTTAGAAACCGAGGTTATCAAAACTTCCTTTTTCGGTTTTCGTACATTTAGCATATTACCTGTTTCAGTCATATGCGTTGACATTTTGCTATGCTGTTGTTCGAAAAGAGCAGGGGACGTAGACCCCGGTGGTGTAGTCATCCTTTCTTGGGTTGGGTGGGTTATCTGTGAGGACACTTAAATTGGAGCCTCGCTCTGTTGTGTGTTCCGCACCATATGGTGGAAGTGATTAAATAAATGAATAAATATGAACACACTAATGTTTAATTTCGACTCATACGTCAAAGTTTCTCAATAATGCGTAATACTTTCATCCCCAGACCAAGTTAAGGCAGGATTCTTCAGTGTCATGCTAACTTTTCAATCTGTGGAACAAATTCTATGGTATTATTAATACCATTTGAACAAAAACTTTTTCGCGTAACTTTTGCCCAGAACTATTTAATATTTCTTAGGATTTTACAAAAAAAAATTTGAATTTTTTGATAAATGTTGTTCTCGGGACACTATTAGGAGTAAAAGGGTCAAATAACATGTTTACAGGACGAAACTGTCTATTTTTCCCCTGCATCCGCCTAGGGTAACGATATTCGTAAGATCTAAGTAGTGGTCTATTTTATCAATGCTGCGTTCTGATTGGTTGAGCTACTACTAGGCTATATCAATAGGCTTTGAAAACCAAATCATTGACGGCTGAATCTAGCTAAAGTTGTTCTGTCGCAATATATTTTACCATCTATTTGGATTTCACTAAAACAATTATTCCTCTCGCCCTCATGGCCTTTGAGTCAATAGCCCATTCGGCCTTCGGCCTCATGGGCTATTGACTCAGAGCCTATTCGGGCTTATCTGTCTTGCTGCAATACAAATGTGTGCTGTACGTATTAATTTCGCGCGTTACTTCCTTGAAAGCGATTATCTTACCTGAACGTGTTGCGTTACTCCGCCGATGATTATCTACACGTTTCACTGAAATTTTTGAAATGTGAGCGACTGTTCCTTTTACGAAACGTGATTTTCTTGGCTATGAGGATTTATGATGGTTATTAAACTACGCTTTGTGGTTACTCCTATTTCACTTCCTTAAACGCTTGCTATTTTGCTCCAGTCCAATTTTAGCTCTTTTAAAGGAACGTCCAAGTTTCAGCTGGGGATTATAACCGAACGTTCTTATTTTGGGGGGTAATTTGAGAGTAAAACCCGCCCTCAAGATTTTTTTCATAAATAATATTGTATTTAGTAAATATCAGGGGTAACCAGCGACGGTTTCCTCCTTAATGCATTGAAAACACTTTTTAGGCTATCCAGAGTACTTTTAGATCTCTAGCAAAGAATTCTAAGCGGCGCTATAAAATTTGCATCTGTTCGGTCATCCTAGAGGAACTTGAGTCTTTTCGAAATTACAAGGGACTCGGTATTATTTTCTCGAAAATTTTATATATAATTTTAAGTTTTACGAAAGTGAGAAATTTTCTGATTCCTCTCTCCATCGCATTTTCGAATCCGAAAATTTTAGGTTTCCTTTTTCTACAAAAAAAAAAGCCTTACCTGGGGACTGAAATGCGAATAATTGAACATTAGAAAATCGTAGGGAATTTATTTGATATGCCTTGAAAATTGTACATAAGTGGAACGGTCATCTAGGAATTGCTTCTCCGAACAAAAGATGGGTTTGACATGCCCGCATGTACCCTGTGTCACACTTAGACTACACCACCAAGTTTCGAGCGACACATCCTGCTACACCGCAGGCCTGCACGACTTTTACCTCGTGTTTTAAGGAGCTTGACGAACAACGAGCTGGAAGGGCAAAAATAAATACTAATATGCAGCCAAGCATTTACTGCATTCCGCACTGTAATTCGAATAATTGAACTTCAAAATCCTGGTTTAAGAGTTAGCGATCAGTAGCCTGTTCCAAGCGTTCAGATAGTGGAAAGCAGTGCGAAGTAAAGAAAGCGATGAAAAGTAGAGGGGGACTGGGGGGAGAAGTGCTTGTTCCCTCTCTTACCTCTCCTTCTCCCTCGCTGTTATTTTTTCGCGCGCCTTTTAACTTCGCACCGCTCCCCACTATCTGAACGCCTGGAACAGGCAAGCGATCAGGGTTGCAGGTTCCAACCAGCAAGCTAGCGTATCCAGTGTACAAAGGTTTTTAAAACTTTATTTATTTAATTCTGCTTAACTATTTACATCATACAAGGATCACATTAGTTTTCAGTTAAATTAGTTTAATCCCTCCTAATAATCTTCCAATTTACGTGTATACCCTCTTCTATCCTTTTTTTGTTTCATTCTCAATTCTACCTCAGTTAATTAATTAATTAATTCGCTAATAGATACAAGATTCAAACAGATACAAGTGCAAATTGGAAATAAAAAATTTAAAAAAATTGTGGCTGGAAAGAGGGACATAACTTCCGATTCACTCGATGAACACAAGTGTCACTAAAAGTTTCGAATACACTCAAACAACATCAGCTCAGCAAAGTGTAATCTTTCCGCATCCCCCGTACTGGGCTGAAGCATCACTGAAAGAAATAAAAAGGAAAAGGTTCCTGCTTGAAACAATGTTAAATTAGCGATCCACAAGCATGAACGTTTTAAAACACAACCGAGTAGTTCAAGAGTTGATACGGAAATGCTCATGAATAGCTTCGACTTCCGCCGTTTTTTTCATGCTATTGTTTTCTCATTTCTCTTGACTTCTCTTCTCTTCTCTCTCTTATGCATTAAACAGGTCAAAGTAAGACGCCTGATATGTAATCCGTAATCTGTCCTTCAAACCTTATGCTCACTGTAGTTTTATTTACGGACAATTTAAAAGTGCAAGTTCTGATGAAAAGGATTACAATTCAAGATATGACGAAGATGCATCTAAAACCGTCGCTTGAAATTTTATCCTTCTATCATTCAAAGGCAATCAGGGATTTTTTGTTGGGCGTGAACCCCTCTAATTTTGAACCTGTGGATTATTAATTAACTAATTAATTAATTATATATTTATCTATGTTGAGCTTGTATATGAAAAACTAGTTTCCTGTGTGGCTTTTATTACACCCGACAACGTGACTGGACGGTCTTAAATACTGACTACTTTTTATCGATGTGCGTTTGCCTCAATAGTATTTTCTTTGTATGGTCATGCAAAAAAAGTTAAGCTTATTGTTGTTGTTCTTCTATTTTGCAAGCGCAAATTTTTACCACATTTCTCCCGTCTTACGACCGGGAAATGGAAGCCATTGATTCTCTAC